TCTCTCTCTCTCTCTCTCTCTCTCTCTCTCTCTCTCTCTCTCTCTCTGTGTGTGTGTGTGTGTGTGTGTGCATGTGTCCCTCTTTCTGTGTGTGTGAGAGAAACAGAGACACGGTGAGAGATAGACAGAGACAAAGAGAGACAGAGTCAGACAGACAGACAGACAGACAGACAGACAGACAGATGAGACACAGAGAGACAGACAAAAGACAGAGAGAGACAGAAAGATATCCAGGCAAACCACTCAAGCGAGTCCCACGGGTCTCACAGCCTTACTCAGTCCTTGCCCACCTGCCCCTAAGGACCTTAGTACCTGTTCCTGGTGCGTGGTCCTGGGGTCGTCGGGTTCCAGAGAGTCCTCAGTGCAGCCGAGGTACCGCTGGTGTCTTCTCTGCTTTCCTCCACCAACAGCCTGCACAGCCAGCGAGAAAACTAAGTTATTACACAGCGTTGGAAGCCAGTGTGGCTGGCAGACTAGGCATGGCGCTCCAAACGTAACCAGAGCATCTTTGTGCACCCCAGCTCCCGGGATGGGTCCCTAATCTTAAAGTTAGGGAGGAAAAAACCCATAGGAGAAAACTGGGAGTGGAATGGGTGAGTCCTGGAGCCTGGCGGGAACCCTCTTCAGCAGGTTCCGCTCCGCAGCTTCCTTGCCCATAGTCGCACTATCTGGAGCCCTCCCAACCCCGACGTGTCGCCTTCCACTACATACCAAGCAATCCGGCCAAACGTCGCCTCTCTCAGACCCCCGAGCCCCACCCTCAAGGAGCTGCTTGGTCAAAAGTCTAAGAGTGGTCAGTCACCCAGATCTTTCCGGGGGTCCCCTGGAAGCAACGCCCAGAGAACAGCGTGGGCGCACGGGACCCTGCAGGTGGGGCGAGTTGAGGCCGGGGAATTACCTGGAGCGGGCGGGTGCGTCCGCCGGGCACCAGAGCAGACGCAGGAGGAGCAGCAGCATCAAGCTGCTTACCAGGGCGAACAGCGTGCCTCCCGGTCGCATCCTGAGCCACGGGAGTCCTCGCCGCCAAAGCTGCCGGGGCGAAGCGCAGCCCGGGCGGCACCGACTCGCCGCTCCGGTCACCGCCGCCGCCGCCGCCGCCACCGCGGCCGCTGCCACGCACACCCCCAGCGTTCAAAGGCGGTGGCGCGGGCCCGCACTCTGGGGGCTGCCCCGAGCCCAGCCTGCAACAGTGTTGCCAGGCACCGAGCCGAGGAAGCAGTGTCCCGGCTCGACCGCTTCTTCCAAACCAACCCCCGGCCGCCGAAGCTGGCGGTCCGCTAGCGGATGACGATCCTCTGAGCTCGCCGCCTGTCCTCCCGGAGGCGCTCGGTGCCGCTGCGGGCTCTGGTCGCTGCAGCCGCCGCTGCCTCTGCCTACTGCTGCCGCCGCCGCCGCGCGGGGTCACCTGAAGGTTGGGGTATGAGCGCTCAACTCCGCGCTGATTGGGCTCCAACTTTTCAGCTGCTCTCACCTTCTCCTGAGTGCTCGCTTGGCCCCAAGCGACACACCCAATCACATTGAGACTCTCCTGCATAGCTGGGGCCCTGAGCTAGAACCTGGAGGACTTAAGAGAAGAGCAGAAAAGGCCCATTTCAAAAAAGTTTGCAAACTGAATTGCTCAGCTGGATCCTCCCACGTGCCTGAAAGCTGCCAGGGACTTGGTAACATTTGAGTAGACCTTGGCATTACATGGAAGTGGTCACCTTCCCAAGATGTAATGTGGACAGTTGACACCAAATTACCAGGAAATCTTCAAGGGCGACTAGTCCACCCACCTTTGGCCAGATTCATCCCTGGCTGCTTTAAAAACCTGTTTTATTGGGCATTTTCGTGTCCAGTACTTTGTGTTATTGATGAGCATGCGATTGAGTGACAGACTGACAGCTTATGTGTTCTTGTACCTTTGCCCGTGTGTATGTACACACACACACACACACACACACACACGGGGGGGGGGTCAGGAGCTTCCTTTCTCAATATTTAGTGAGGGGACAGCCAAAGGCCACTTAGCAGTCCACCAAGAACTGAACCTCATCATGAACCACACATTGCTGGAAATCTGATCTTTAACTCATTCAGCTCTTTAAAAATCCGTTGCTGTGTCATCCACCCAGGCTGTAACTACCGAGGACAAGGATGCTTCCTTCAGATCATATTGAAGAATATCTCACTTATTGGTTAGAATCGCATTTATTGATCAGAACCTCACTTGATGCAGAACTATGAGCCAATGATGAGATGCTATAATCTGGCTTTCCAATTATTCATTTAGAAAACTATCCTGACTCTTTTAACCTTAAGCTATCCTGTCCATGCATGGTCCATCATCTCCCCTAGTCCATAAGGTTAGGCAAGGCTTTCTCTGCTGTATCTGTAACTCTAGATCCCTGAAGTACATCACCAGAGCATAAACATCATTTGTCAAACAGGTACTTCCTTTGATTATTCGTTCTGCTTTTGAACAGCTGAGTTCCGAAAGCAACTTTAGTGCTCTATCATTTGGGGGGGAAACTTAATTTAAAATATCTAGAAGAGCTGGAGAAGGGGCTCTGTGGGTAAAGTGGAGTACTGGAACCCAGATTATAGCACCCACATAAACAGTTAGGTATCGAGGCCTGTAAATCTAGACAACACTAAGGTGGGGTGGGGAATGGGAGATCTCTAGGGCTCACTGCCCAGCCAATCTAAACAGGACTACTGAGAGACCTTACCTCATAAATACCATAGAGAGCAATAGCAGAAGACACCCATTGCTATTCTGTATTCCCCTGCCCTTAGCCAAATATTTAAGGATTTCTAGTTCCTGGTACCAATCTGTGTCTCCTGGAAAAGCACTTGGTTAAAACCAAACCAGAAGTTTGCAAATAGTTGATCAGTAAATGGCCAATGAAGTGAAACTACTTTCAAACAAATGTTAGTCTCAAAGAGAAGGAGGATCTGGAAGCAGAAAATGAATGTGACTATAGATATGTTTTATTTTCTACAGCTCACCACTGTCATGAAAATGTTACTAATCAAGAAAGAAAAAAGCTGCTATTCTTGCACAGCTGACATTTTTAGGGACTCAGTTGTTTATTCTGCATATGACACCAAGTAATGCGGCTACATTCTAACAGTGCTCAAAAAGTTGGCTCAGTGGATAATGAACTTGCTCTGAAAACCTAGCAACCTAAATTTGTTCCCTGAACTCACTGGGGGAAGGAAAGAGCCAACTGCTAAGGGTTGACCTCTGATGTCCATACACAGGAAATGGCACACATGCTCAGGCACACACAACGTGTGTGTGCACACACAGAGAATAACAAAATTATCCAAAATTTACAGAACAAAGGTTAACTAAAAGTAAAATGAAGTGGCGATACTATGCTACATAGTTAGAATTTACTCCCGCTCTTTGCATAAGTACAGCAGAATTATCCTTGACAGCAGAAGGGTTGCCTGGATTTGGAAGATATTCTGAATTGAATTTCCATGCAGACAACTCATACTAATAACAATCGGCAGAAAAGGAAGAGGACATTAGGTATCCACCAGGAAGCTGCAATTTCACCTAATTTACTAAAGTTTAATATTTCAACACAGCTGGGTTCAAGGCAACTGCAAGAGGCACCCCTGTGCTGGACTCCCTAAACACCCTTGCTGCAAATGGAGTTGCTTTCTATCATGCCCATGGCTATAGTCGGGGGACTTACAAAAGCCCATTTTAATTGGGAAACCAAGTGTGAATTTGCAATGGGAATTCAGAGCTGAGCCTTAAAATTTGACAGTGGGAACTTTACCGTAAGCCTCCTCATTTAAGTCTTGGGTTGGTAAGGTATTAACTAACTTGCTTACCCTTGAACGATAAGAAACTTACAGAAGCATTAAGTCATAAGTACTATTTATCAGTTGAAAACTGATACCAAAGAAGCAATCAACTTTCTGCTTTCAGGTTTGACTCCAAAGATCTCTGCCAGGTTAGATATGGAATATGGTAAGACCAGGAATCCAGACCCGAGCTCAAGCCTCTGTGCCAAACTAGTGTGTGAGCAGGCAGATCTCAGCATATCTGCCTGTTTTAGGCAGATAGTGGTTTTCAGAGGGTATCTTCTGGGATTTCCAGGTTTTTTATGTCTCAGAACAAGGAAGTGGACCAGGGATGTGTGACTAGTGGCAGAAAAAAAAAGACAGTCCTTTAAGAAAGGGAACATTTTGACAGCCATTGCAGTACATTGAGCTCCATAGAGACAGCGCCGGGGCAAGCAAGAGCCAGACGGGCACTGGGCGACTCTGTGCCTCTCAGAGGAAAATCAACTAAACATGGGCAAAGGAGATCCTAAAGAAGCCGAGAGGAAAAATGTCCTCATATGCATTCGTTGACCAAACCTGCCGGGAGGAGTACAAGAAGAAGCACCCAGATGCTTCTGTCAACTTCTCAGAGTTCTCCAAGAAGTGTTCAGAGAGGTGGAAGACTATGTCTGCTAAAGAAAAGGGGAAATTTGAAGATATGGCAAAGGCTGACAAGGCTCGTTATGAAAGAGAAATGAAAACCTACATCCCTCCCAAAAGGGAGACCAAAAGGAAGTTCAAGGACCCCAATGCACCCAAGAGGCCTCCTTCGGCCTTCTTCTTGTTCTGTTCTGAGTACCACCCAAAAATCAAAGGTGAGCATCCTGGCTTATCCATTAGTGATGTTGCAAAGAAGCTAGGAGAGATGTGGAACAACACTGCAGCGGATGACAAGCAGCCCTACGAGAAGAAGGCTGCCAAGCAGAAGGAGAAGTATGAGAAGGATATTGCTGCCTACAGAGCTAAAGGAAAACCTGATGCAGCGAAAAAGGGGGTAGTCAAGGCTGAAAAGAGCAAGAAAAAGAAGGAAGAGGAAGATGATGAGGAAGATGAAGAGGATGAGGAAGAGGCGGGAGAAGAGGAAGATGATGATGATGAATAAGTTGGTTCTAGCGCAGTTTTTTTTCTTGTCTATAAAGCATTTAACCCCCCTGTACACAACCCACTCCTTTTAAAAAAAAATTGAAATGTAAGGCTGTGTAAGATTTGTTTTTAAACTGTACAGTGTTTTTTTTTTTTTTTTTTTTTTAGTTAACACACTACCGAATGTGTCTTTAGATAATCCTGTCCTGGTGGTATTTTCAATAGCCACTAACCTTGCCTGGTACAGTCTGGGGGTTGTAAATTGGCATGGAAATTTAAAGCAGGTTCTTGTTGGTGCACAGCACAAATTAGTTATATATGGGGACAGTAGTTTGGTTTTTGTTTTTCTTTTCTTTTGGTTTTATTTTTGGGTTTTTTTTTTCCATTTTCAGTTGTCTCTGATGCAGTGTATACAAAGATAATTGTTGTTCTGTTAACTGAATACCACTCTGTAATTGCAAAAAAAAAAAAAATTTGCGGCTGTTTTGTTGACATTCTGAATGCTTCTAAGTGAATACAATTTAAAAAGAAAGGAAGAAAGAAAGAGAGAAAGAAAGGAAGGAAGGAAGGAAGGAAGGAAGGAAGGAAGGAAGGAAGGAAGGAAGGAAGGGAGGAAGGGAACATTTTGGGAGATCCCAGAACAGGACAAGTTGGAGGCTAAAGGGCTCTGGGTTACAAAAGATTCCCTGGTTTATGGGTCATTTACACAGCACCTGCCTTCTCCTGCATTTATTTACCTACCGTATTAATCAGGGTTCTTTAGAAAAGCCAATAAACCAGAGGTGCTCAGTCCACTAGACTGGATGGCTCAGCTGATCTTCATTACGTGCTGGAATCCCAGAGAAGTAGGGTCTAATACTGGTGAAGGCATGGACTTGCTAACAAGGTGAAAGCAAGGAGGCAAAGACCAAGAGCTTCCCTTTCCGTGTCCTTGCATAGGTTAACAGCAGAAGGCTTGGCTCAGATTACAGGTGAGTTTTGTCAGCTCAAATAGTCTGGATTAAAGGTTTGTCTTCGCAACTCAAGATCTCAATTAAAGCCACAATTTCCTACCTCAGAGATACAGATTAGGAGTGGCTCTTCCTACT